TATAAAGTGTTGGGAGTAAATAAATGAATGGAATGAATAGAAACCTGGGCTTTAAGGAAAACTAAAAGAGAGCAGAAGAAAGTTTAAGAATGAAATAAGAGAATGTAAGATATGTAAGATGTAAGAGATATTGAAATAAAGGAAGATATTTAAATGGAGATAGAAGCTAAGAGGGCAGAAAATTACAGCTAGAGTAAAAAGCTTAGATTAAATTCTAATATTCCAATAAAACAGAGTTATCTAAATGAAAGAGAAGAGAAAATATTGCAGCTAAAGAAGGAATTTTATGGACGTAATAGAATATATTAAGAAACCCTGGGGTACTTATTTATTTAGATAATAATCCAATCTGAAGATAGGAATACTACCAGCTGAATTTAAATCAGAAAAATCAAAATATCGATTAACTGTTCTTCAATATAGAATCTTTAATATCACTTATCCAATTCGCATCTAATCGCATGTGCAGGCCACCGATGGATCCTATGAGGATCTGCGCGTGACGGGCAAGAACAAGCAAAAGGTGCTGTCTGTCATCGATGGACGACGCGCCCAGAACTGCACGATTCTGTTGAGCAAGCTCAAGATGAGCGACATGGATATATCCAAGTGAGTACAAAATCCAAAATTCCCAATCTAAACTCAAGTAGAACCAACTAACAAACACCCTCCTCCCCTTCCCGCTCACAGAGCAATACTCTCCATGGACAGCAATGAGCAGCTGGCGCTGGATATGGTCGAGCAGCTGCTCAAGTTTACGCCCTCCGCTGAGGAGCGTGCGCTCCTGGACGAGCACAGCGAGGATATCGAATCGCTGGCACGCGCGGATCGTTTCCTCTACGAGATATCCAAGTGAGTAGACAGTCTAAGCTGATTCTTCTATAAGCTGAATGATTGATTGATTGAATGACTGACAGTGATTGACTTACTAACTGACTGACGAACTGATGCACTGACTGGCTGACTGATTGAGTGTCTGACTGATGATGATGACTGATGACATGATGATTGATTGACTGACTAACTAACTAACTCGCTGATTGACCGTCCAATTTATTCACTGACAGGCTAATTGATTGCCCGACTAAATGATTGACTGATTTGATTAATTGATTGACTGATTGACCGACTAACTGACTGACCAACTGATGCACTGATTGGCTGACTGATTGAGTTTCTGACAGACTGATTTACGAAAGAACTGGCTGACTCCCTGATTGATCAAATTTATCCCAGACTAAAAATTGATTGACTGACCCCATAAGTGATTGACCGACTAATTAACTGACCGACTCGCTGATTGATTGACCGTCCAACTTATTCATTGACAGGTTGATTGATTGCCTGTCTAAGTGATTTACTGATTTATTGATTGATTAACTGATTGACCGACAAACTGACTGCTTCATTGACTTATCGATCCAATAACTGACGGACTAACGGGATTGATTGACCGACTAACTTTAAATAACTTAATTGATTGACTGACTGAATGATTAACTGACTGATTGATTGGCACACAGACTGATGGTCTGACTGACTGAGCCAATGGTGGGCTGACTGAGGATTGATTGACTGACTGACTGATTGATCAACTGGCTAACTGATTGATTGTCTGGCAGATTAATTGTTACACTGTTTGATTGACGCAGTCTCCGTTTTGACGGGGAATGAAGCCTGTTTGAAATGTCTATTATATATATATCCCATTTTCTTTCCTATCGCAGGATTCCACACTATGAACAGCGCCTGAAGAGCTTGCACTACAAGAAGCGCTTCATGCTGACGGTGAATGATCTGATACCACGCATCACCAGCGTCATGGAGGCATCCAGAGAGGTGGCCCGCTCGCGCCGATTGCGCAAGCTGCTCGAGCTGGTGCTGGCATTGGGTAAGACTCACTCTCATAGGAGACTCGGCCAGACTTATGCACATACATTTTCTTTCTGCAGGCAACTATATGAATCGTGGCGCCCGCGGCAATGCCTCTGGCTTTAGGCTGGCATCGCTGAATCGTCTGGCGGACACGAAATCCAGTGCGGCCAAGGGCACCACACTGCTGCACTATCTGGTGCAGGTGATTGAGAAGAAGTTCAAGGATCTGCTCAAGCTGGAGGACGATATACCGCATGTGCGCGAAGCGTCCAAGGTGTCGCTGGGCGAAATGGACAAGGATATACAGATGCTGCGCACCGGCCTGGCGGATGTGGCGCGCGAAATTGAGTTCCATCGCAGCTCGGGACCGGCACAGCAGGGCGATCGCTTTTTGCCGGTGATGCGGGAGTTCCATGCCTCGGCCTCGGTGCGTTTTGCCGAGCTGGAGGATAAATTCCAGGACATGAAGACGCGTTTCGATCGTGCGGTGCGCCTATTCGGCGAGGATGGCTCCGTGCTGCAGCCTGACGAGTTCTTTGGCATTTTCGATTCGTTTCTGGCCGCCTTTGCGGAGGCGCGCAACGACAACGAAAGCTTCCGCCGGCGCCAGGAGGAGGAGGAGAAGCGCGCTAAACAGGAAGCCGAGCTCAAGAAGCGCACCATCGAGCGCAAAAATAAAACCGGCCTCATGAGCAGCGTGGCACGCAATCTGGGCCTCAAATCGGCCAGCAATGGCAGCGCCAACGGCAGCGATCCACTGGCCAAAAGCGACAACAAGGGCGAGTTCGATGATCTGATCTCGGCGCTGCGCACCGGCGATGTCTTCGGCGAGGACATGGCCAAGTTTAAGCGTTCGCGCAAGGCGCGCGTCTCCAACGGCGCCGCGGCTGGCGCCGGCACTGGAGCTGCTGGAGGTCCAGGTGCTGGCAATGCCGCCGCCGCGGGTCAGACCTCGCCGCCGCGTCTGCAGCGCGAGGAGAGCGGGCGGGAGCGCGAGCGCACTGTGAGGCGTCAATAAAAGCGGCCACGCCCAGCCAAAGCAAGCAGCGCGTAGTCAAAGTTTTCCTTCTTTTTTTTTTTTTTGTAATTTCTTTGTTTGCTTTTTTTCAAATATCATATATTGTTATTATATATATGCTACATATACATACCTATACCTAAACATATATATATATATATACATAGCTTAAAATCAGCTTCTGCAAGCATTAAACCAAATTTTTTACAACCAGCAAAAATATATAATGAAAAACATAAATGTAATTTGTAAACTAAAGAAAACTGAAAAATGTTATGCAAAAGGGAAAAAATTCAAAAATCAAATCAAAAATAAGACAATTTGTAGCGTAAATTTACAAATTGTATTTGTATTATGCAAACAAGAAAAATTAATATTAATATTTAAAAACGAAAAACAAAAAAAAAATACAAAAAAAAACAATCATAAAAGCTAACTCTTAACAATATTATAGTGCTCTATGCAGAGTCTAAGCATGCAACAAAAGACGTTACAAATTTTGAATATATGCTCAGAAAAACAATTCAAAAACAAACTAAAAACAAAAGCTAATCAAATATATAGCTCATGCTGCTATATAGTACAATATACATATATACACATAATCAATAATGAAATCGAATGTCATCGTGGTACTATATAGCAACATTTATACATATACATACTTACATGTGTGTGCACGTTTTGAAGGCATCTGCGGCCTGCCATAAGAAAAGTCATGTTCATTATTAACATTTATATTATGATTATTATATTATGTACTATCTATCCTCTATTATATACATATTTTTTTTTAGCACGAATCTCGCTAAATACTTATCTTAACGCACTTTTGTAAAAGATCATAAAGAAAGGTTTATATTAAAAGATTATGATAAATAAAAAATATTTAATACTAAAAACAGATAAATAAATTTATCGCCGCGTCTTGTGAGATCCAATATATAGTGTGTGTGGGTGTGTGTATGTGTGTATGTATGTATGTGTGTGTGTGTGTATGTGTGTGTGTGTGTGTGTTAGTGTATGCATGCACATATGTATATATGTATGCATGCATGTTTGTTTTCTAACACCAAACGGAGACCAAGCTTTTTTGTCGCTGTGCTGCACATTTAAATAAAACGAAATTTTACCAAGTGCTCTCCTCCTCGATTCTCAAGAATTTAAGTAGGCTCTGCAGTTTTCATGCTAAGCTAGTAGTGTAGTAGCTTTTTGTAGCTAGTTTTGGCTTTTTTTTTGGTGTTTTTTTTTTTGGTGTTTTTTTTTTGGTAGTTTTTTTTTGGTATTTTTTTTTGGTGTTTTTTTTTGGTTTTTTTTTTGGTGTTTTTTTTTGGCTTTTTTTTTGGTGTTTTTTTTTGGTGTTTTTTTTTGGTAGTTTTTTTTTGGTATTTTTTTTGGTTTTTTTTTGGTGTTTTTTTTTGGTTTTTTTTTTTGGTTTTTTTTTTTTGGTGTTTTTTTTTTTGGTGTTTTTTTTTGGTGTTTTTTTTTGGTGTTTTTTTTTTGGTGTTTTTGTTGGTGATACATACGTATGTATGTATGTACGTATGTATGTACGTATGTATGTACGTATGTACGTATGTATGTACGTATGTATGTACGTATGTATGTACGTATGTATGTACGTATGTATGTACGTACGTATGTACGTATATATGTATGTACGTATGGATGTACGTATGTATGTACGTATGTATGTACGTACGTATGTATGTATGTATGTATGTATGTATGTATGCATGCATTTCTACCGAGGAAGCTTGGATTCTGCGAAAACTGTGAAATACTTTCCAAATGATTTTTCATATAGATCTTTGAAAATGATTTTGTACGCGAAACGTCACCCACCAAAATGTTGACCCTCATTTCCACCAAGGAAGGAAGGATTTTCCAAAAAATACGAAGCCGAATTTCGACAAGCATCTTTGAAAATGTGCAATTTCCCGAAACGCCGTCCTACTATGCACCTTCATCACAAAAGGTAAGTACAATGAAGAGTTAGCTTCCTAGCAATTTTTATTTAGAGATATATACCCTATACACTACATAAGCCCAGATGCATTTTCAAGAAATTTTAAGAAAATAATTAGTATATTCTCATAATTATAAAAAAAAAAAACAGCAAAAACAAAACAAAAACTGAACAAAATTTGGAAATATTGTGGATGTTTGTGCTCAAGTTGATTTTCATGAAGATTTTAAGTTGGTCTCGTCGGCGGGCTCCTCCAGCCACTTGCGCACCGCCAGCCCGCCCTCGACATCGGCCGTGGCCAGACGCTGCTCGAATTGCTCGTAGGAGATGCTATCGCTGGCGCCAAAGGCCAGCTCCTCCAGCTGCTGGAGCTCCGTTTCGCTGCCCTGCGGATGCAGATTGGCCACCCCATCCGAGGGCGGGACGCTGTCCAGCAGGCATTTCATCGTCCGCCGGAAGTCGGCTCGTTCGATTCGCCCGCTGCGCTGCGTGTCGAACATTTGGGAGAGCAGGCGCAGTTTCTGGGCACGGCCGTCGGCGCGCGTATGTGTCAGCTGGCCAAATTGGGGCACCATAAAGGTGGCGCAGGTGCGCACAAATTGGCCAAAATAGATGCGATCGCCGCTGGTAGCATCCGCATCCGCAGCCTTGTCCTTGCCCACATCCGAGTCGGCCTCCTTGATGACCGCAAAGAAGCCATCGATGATCTGGCGGTGGAGCGGATTCTGCGCCAGCTGCGGTATGCGCAGCAGCTCGGTCGGCGTCAAATAGCCGCGCTGACGTCGATCCAGCGCCTGGAAGCGTGTATGCAGCTGCTCCAGCTGCTCCGTGGACAGACCTGTGGCCGCCTGATATGCGCTCAGCTCCGATACGCTCAGCTGATGGCTGGCCATGAGGCCCATTCTGATCTCGATGGTTGTGTCGCGTTATCCTCAGCAAACTGTTCCTGCCTGCTGCTCGGCTTACGGTCGACTTTTGGTTTTCACTTATATAATTGTTCCGCCTTTGACAATGAATCCACAGCCCCATTTGCTGCCGATCAGGCCTCCAAACTGGGTTTCAATCGAACCTGGAATTTCATATTCAGCGGGAGGACACTCCAACCTTAAACCACATATATATTCTGGTTCAGGGGGAACTGAATCGTCCTTGCCATGTTCGTCCATCTATTCGTCTGCGCGAATGCGTCAAGCTAGAAAACTACAAAAGCTACAGACTTAAAGTAGAAATTAATTTTTCCTATTTTATAAATAGAAAACACCTTGTTTTTACTTTGCCAGGAGCACCGAATTGCCAAATTACAAGCACTTGACGAGCTCGTAGATACCCCTCAAAAACCCGTCCCCTAGTCAACTTAACAAAATACCATTGCATACTTTTGCGCGCAACGCATTTAGCCAAGGCGCACAACCCATTCTACCTCGTCAAGTGGTTGTTGCCTAGACTATTCTCATATTTTTTATTGGTATCGATACTGGCCAAGTACTTGCAAGGAAATGGCCTAGTAAAAACTAGAATTTTGACAAAAATAATGATTATTTCTTAGTTAATATATATATGTATATATATACTCACAGCTCGTTAATATCCTTGAGCTTTTTGGACAGGACACATCAACAAGGGACTGAGGCAAGCTCTTGGATCGGTCTAAGCAAATATTGCTTGGGCATATCCTTTGAAGAAGCTGAAGGCTCGAACCTTAAACTGGCTACAAAGATGTGAATAAGCCGGCTTCATGAACAGAAATCCCCAAACATATTCGACTTCAAAAATCCAATTGCCAAATATACGTTAGGCGCGTGAAAAATGTGAGCTCGAATTTCGACGGGTTCTTGGCACAGGATGCGCGCGACTTGCAGCAGTTTGACTGTCGCACACAAGTTAACTGTGCCGTGTTTTGGCTTCTGACTTGGCGGCAGCCGTTGGGCCGAAATTAACATAAAATATTGCGAAAACAGAAACCGCACAGCGAACTCAGGACTCAGAGTGGCAAGGACACGCCGAAGGATAACAATAGGCTAAGGCATTGCCAAAAATGGGAAAAAAATAAAATCTGCTGTGAATGTATGGCAAAACAATAAGCAAAACAATAAATCAAAATATGAAATCATAATACGGCAAGCAGCGCCCGAGGCGAAAGGAAAGACAAGAGAGACAGGGTGAGAGGGAGAGCGGGAGAAGGGCGCAAGGACTCGCCCAGCAACAGCTGTGCTCGGTTCAAGTCCGGCGCCCAACGCACAAAAGGCTGAAATTCGAGCAGGCGCAAGGCGCAGGAGTCTGCGAAACTGCGCGACTGCGCGACTGCATCTTGCGGTCGCCTCCTGTGCGCAGTTCCTTTCTTCTGCACTCTCTTGTCTGCATGGCAAAAAGTCCCTTGCCCATAAATATAAATCTTAATATGTCATAATTCGTTATAATTTACGAAAAAAAAACAAAAATGGAAGTAAACAAAAAAAAAACCGCAAGTAGTTCGCGCCAGGACACGCCGCGACCCGCTGCGCCCGCTGACGCCGCAACCTGAAGTTGACTTTCTTGGTGCCGCTCCGCTGCCGCCCGATGCTGCTCCGGTGGTGCTCCGGTGGTTGCTCCCAGCACTAATCCCACAAATTATTGCCCTAATCGCGCCACATTGTCGCGGCTTAGCGACCTTCGCCTAACTCATTTATCAAACGGAAATTATCAAAAAGTAAACAAATATGAATTTCATTTTTTTCGCTCTATTTGTTTAATTTACTAAAAAAACAAAAAAAAAAAAGCAAATGATAAGGGGGGTGGCTGTTGGGAGGAAAGAGGCGCAAGCCTAAAGGCTGCGCAGACGTAAAGTCAGCTGCCTGCTGCTGACCTTTTGAACCGGCTTGCGGTCAGTCGTGCTCGCCAGCATCAGGTCCTTTTTCCATTTACAGCTTACAGTTAACAATTTCCATTTCAATTTCCATTTCGATTTCCACTGAGATCTTCCCCGGCGCACGCGCCTGCCTCAGAGTCCACAGCAGCCGCAGCTTTTGTTTGTTTAGGCTGCCTCCTTTTGTTGCCGCTGACCAAATGATGCGCACACAAATATTCAAAAATACAAAAAATAAATAATAAAAAAGGGAAAACAATCGTAATGCATATGACATGTGGGCAAATAACACGTTTCGCCTGCGTTACGAAAACGAAATGAAAACTCTCAACTCTGAATACGTTATGCAAACACCAGCTAAATATCAAAAAGGGAGAAAATTCTATTCAATTCAAACATTATTTTGTTCAGACACACTTTTAAAATACGTTCATTTTGATGTATCTTATAGATACTCTACTCTTCTGCAGCTTTTAGATACATTTGTGTCTTGCAGATACTAGTATGCACCAGAGATACATTTCAAAGATACTTGTGCATCCTACAGATACTTTTCGTATCACATATACCTATAGATGTGTATCTTAAAATCTCATAGATACTTATGTATCTCAGATAAACGTTTATGCTCGAAAATAGATATATATCTCATTTCATAGATACAGCTCACAGATACTTTTGTTGCTTATAGATACTGTGTATCTCATAGATACATTTTACAGATATTCAAGTAGGCATCGAATAGATGCTAATCTTGTACTTGTACCGACTTGTAATGTAATTTTGATGACTTAAATGGGGGCCTTTCTATGCGATTTTCAAACCGATTTAGGCAACTTTTCGTTTGGGCATTGAACTAAAATCGTATTAGGCAACTTTAAAGGCGCTTTGCATTTGAATAATAAAAGCATTCAAATTCATATTCATATTCATAATACTGTAAGCCCAACCCCGATGCTGCAGGCACACACACGCGGGCATAGTCTGGCTGCGGCCAGGACACCTTCCCCCGCCGAAGATGTGAGCAACATGATTTGGATTATAATTTGATATTTTGTTGAGTATGCTTAAAGGACGAGAATTAGCATTTAAATTGCCTCATTAGCCTTGGGAGCTGCGCAGCCAAAGGATATTGTTGCACTTTTCCATGTTTTCCATGCTTTCCATGTGCATGCAACAGACGGGCAAACGATTCGCTTTCCAACACTGGCCAGCCAAAATGTGTGCAGTCTGAAGTTTTACGAACTATAATTTTCTTAATCAAAACAAAAACAGAAACGGGTTGGCGGGGGTCTCGTCGCTCTCTCTCCCTCTCCGTAACGCCCATCGCCCAGCGCCGTGTCGATAATTTAGAAATTAAATGTAGCTCGGCAAAGGACACAGCCAGGGACAAGGACAAGAACAAGGACACGGACACGGACACGGCCAAGGGGCAGGAAGGGGAGTCGATAGGAGAGTAGCGAAATGCCACAAATAACACAAATCAAATCTAATCAAGCAAAAAAGAAAGCGCAGCAGCGCGACTTTCCCAAGGCCCGGACACGGCAAAGGGTATTGTGCCCACAAAAAAACATTAAACGTACAAAAAAAAGTAGAAGAAGAAAATGCCGAGCCGACGCTCACCCCTCAAAACAACACCACAGCCAGAGCAGAACAATCCGAAGGCGGCTCGAAGAAAAACAAAAAAAAAAAAAATACAAACCAAGGCCTTGGTCTAGTTTTTCTTCTTCGTTCTTTGATTTTCACATTTTCCTGCTGCTGCAATTACAGTTTTCAATTTTCAATTTCGATTTCAATTTCGTTTTGGGTGTTGTTTTTTTTTCTTCTTTCTTTCTTTCTTTTTGTTGCCCTTGCCTCACGCCACCAACGGGTAATGGGTAACGGGTGCGGGTCGACTCCGGCTCCGGGTTCGAATCCTTACGGGCTAGTGCTTCGGCCCAGATGGGTGTCAGGGCAGCCTTTCTTCTGCTGCTGCTTCTTCTTTGTCGGTTCACCTTGTTTTTGTTGGTGATTTCGTGTGTGCACTCCGACGAGCCTTGTAATTATTTAGTTTACGCGTTTTTTTCTTACAGCTTTCTTTCTCACCTCGACTCCCAACCTCCCAACCTCTCTCCCTTCCTCCCTGCCTGTCTGCTAACATGAGTAATGCAGCTCAGTGGCTCGGAAATTTCAGATTTTATGCTAAGATTGCGTTAATTAGCAAAAAAATAATGATATATATATAATGTATATGAGATTAACCCTGCATCGAAATGCATAAAATTTAAATCCAGCTTTAAAAAAAAATAGTAAAAAAAATATATCTCATAAATTAGCTTTGGCATCAAAATCTATTATCGGGTAAACTTTTAAGTATAACTATCTCACATGAAATCTTTGAGTTCATTAATTCTATGGGGCAGCTACGCTTGGACAGACATACAAATGTTCACCTATTCTATATAGGATATTTGAGGGTACCATTTTCACATGAATTTTAACCAGAAATAATGCTGCCTGATTGGGCTATACGTTGATCACCAATCAATCGCTCAGTCAAGACGAACCGTTTTATATATAGAGATATGTGTATGTATGTATGTATGCTTGAATGTATGTATGTATGTATGCATGTATACATGTATGCATGTATGCATGCATGCATGCATGCATGTATATATGTATGTATGTATGTATGTATGTATGTATGTATGTATGTATGTATGTTTGTATGTATGTATGTATGTATGTATGTATGTATGTATTTATGTATGTATGTATGCATGTCTGCATGTATGTATGCATGTCTGCATGTATGTATGTATGTATGTATATATGTATCTATGTATGTATGTATGTATGTATGTATGTATGTATGTATGTATGTATGTATGTATGTATGTATGTATGTATGTATGTATGTATGTATGTATGTATGTATGTATGTATGTATGTATGCATGTGTATATATACATGTGTATGCATGTGTATATATACATGTGTATGCATGTACATATGCATATAATATGTATACATATAAATCGCCCCAAGCAGTTTTCCAAATTCCAAAAAAAACGTAATATTCACAAATGCCCTTCTATACGATTCTCATAAATTTAAGTAAGTCCCATAGATTTCACTTCAAGCGAAGGAGGCGGCTTCAACTTAGAAGGAGGCGGCT